CTGAAAGACTTTCTGTGATAATGCAACAATGTGTTCCGTGAAGAAATGCAGATGTGGGAGGAAAGTGAGTGAAGTTCTAGGGTGAAACACGCGTACGGTCTGGCGGTCAAACGCCGGATCGTCTCCCGCCCAGGCCATCCACGCATTTCACCCTTGGGGGGGATATATTGGTACAGGATTCGTCTGAGAAGATAAAACACTGACTTATTCGTTGGATGGCCCCCACGACTGCTTGCAGGGAATCATAGCGATTCCAAAGATTATTACGATTCTGACCGGAAGTAGAATGCATGTCGCATCCCAAAAGTGATTGACCCATGGCGAAAGCTTTATCCTTTTGTTTCACTGTTATGTTTTTATCCTTTATACTTTACTTTTCGTGCAGTTTGGCTCGGTAGGGGCATTTTGCTGGCTATCGTCGTTCCTGCCGATGCCTCCTGCAGAGAGTTAATTCCTGAAATGCTGTGCAAAAGGAGGAGCTTTGTTAACTCTGGACAAGAGTCTACACGTCTCACGAAGGCGTAATCTGTTATTTAAAGGGAGCTAGCAAAAAGTTACTGGCGAAAGTGCAAAATGCCCCTCCCAAGCCGAACAGTGCCATGTTCTTTACTGCTGTTTGCTACATTTTACATTAGGTTTTTCCTGCTTCTCATTGTAATGTCAGCATTCCTTACCAGTTCAGGAAATGCGGAGCTATCCTCTTGATTGTTTGTTAGAGAAATGAGCTAAGGTCTGCATTCGTGCCTGAATCTATTTACTCAAATGTCCCTGAAAAAGAGCGCGGCGCAATCTAAACGTGCTTGAGTCAGCAGATCTTCTTTCTGCAAAGCCGCTGGGATGCGTGCCAAAACAACAGGATGCTGACCGGAAAATGTCCTCTCCTCCTCGTCTCCTCCCTCTTCACGTCGATGCAGCCGACCGAATGGCCTCATTGCTCCGCGATCTCTGGCACTCGGTATTCGGTTATTATCGGCTTTTTCCTCCGGCGTATTGGCTATTTGATGAGCCGCATCAAGTTCCGAATCAAACCCCAGCAGTTTTACTTTCCCTTATACGAATTGTTAGTCTTTCTTCTCGCTAGATTTTTCATCAGCTGCTTCTCTATTGATCGTCGGCCAAAGAGGCGAGACGGACCAGCATCATAGCGCTGACTCAAGCGCTATCACATGGCACTCTCAAACATGTTGCTGTATGCTTGCTCAGTGTCATCCTGTGACTCACTTCAATTTATTGGCTGTCTGTGAGGTCCCCTCGTACAAGCCTATACTCATGTCTCAAAATTTTTTCGACTGCCCCTGTTTTTTTTTTTTTTCCCCGCCGCCGCCCCCCCCCCCCCCCGCCCCGCCCAAAAAACCCCAAAAGCCTTTTAAGGCAGAGATTCTTATGTAATTGGTTATAAACAAGGGCTAAGGGCGGAGCATTGTAGTTTTGCGGTCCTGCCAACTACGGGACTATAACTGGCGTGGAACAAAAAAGCCGTGACAGGAATTTTTCACGGCGAAACTCGGACCTCCCTGTTGTGGTTTACCCAATGAATGATGTAGTTGATTGGTCGGGGCGGTTCCAAGGGGGCTGGAATGATGCGCGGCTTGGACCATTGGCTGTTTTCTTCCTGAATCGATCACTAACCGATCGCCATTGGTAGAGAAAGGCAAGCAGGAGGGCGAGCTTTTATTCGGGCCTCCGCGAAACCGGTTTGACTGATTGCGGCGATATCAACTATAAGCCTTGGTCCTTACTCTTTCACTCTGCACGAGCCTGCCTGAACATGCACCGTCAGTATTTTCAGATTAGCGAGTCAAATGGAAAAGGTCGTTCACCCTCCTATTATTTTTTTGGATTCTAGAAGCTGAATCAATCGCAGACAATTTTTATGTGAGATGTCATTTCAGTACTAGAAAACTACGGGAGTAATTAATGAGTCAGCAGAATAGGACTTTTCGCCCAAAGGGGAAAGTGGGTGAGAGCGGTGCATTTTGGCTTGGTGTAGGCACCAGATGCTATTCAGCGAACCTTTTATAGGTCACCTCATGAAGACCTGTGAATTCCTGTGACCAAAGTGGCTCACTCGCACCTAAAGCGCTTTCAGCAGGAGTTAACAGGTTTCACCAAAATGTGACCTGTTAGTTAACAGGTCATGAACTAAGCACGGGAACTAGCGAGATGCAAAATGCCCCCTCCAACCGAACAGAGCTCAACGCCCTCCCTAATCATTTACAGTAAAAGAAAATGTGTTGAAATTGCGCCAGATCATGCACTACCAGTTGAAAAAAACTGCCATAACTTGTTTTTAAATAGTTTATTGATCCTCTCGTGTACTGGAGTTCATATGTGTTACGGTGCGTCGTCGCGATTGTTTTCGATTTTCAGGCAGAGTTATTGATTTTAGCCGTTTCATGTTTGTTATATTTAATTCCTTGTGCCGCTTAATTGTCAAGTAGAACATTATTGATCGCCAAGCGGCTGCTCCTGGAAACCCTGGTTGAGGGTTAGCCGTCTGCTTTTGGATGAGGGTTCTATATTAATCGTGACAGGTAGTCAGCGATAATTCGCCTTGAAATAAGATCATTTGCCTTTGTAGAAATATTTAGACGCGAAATATTGGACCATCCAATGTATACAATTTTTGCGTTTTGATATATTTTTCTAGCTTTTAGCTCGGCCTTTCCCAGGGTAGGCTGAGTTGCTAGCGGCGCGGCCTCTAGCAACTCAGCCTACCCTGGGAAGCTCCGCCCAAACTCGTCCGCCTCAGTCTCCGCCCATCTCTGCGGAATTTCTTCTTTGGCACATTCTAAGGAGGGTTAACGCTTAGCATTTTTTTACTTTCATATAGTTCTGTGTTGAAAACATCGTTTTACAGCAATCAATTACCAGTTATTACCTCAGAAAGGTT